CAATAAATGGAATTTTTCTTTAAAAGCCGAGGAGTGAAATTTGCTTAAATTCAAAAGAGAACATAGATTCTGGGATCTAAATAAGTGTTCAGTTTTAAATCTTTAACACTTTATTGGTGAGTAAATTTCACTGGCAATTTGAGAGGGGATTTACAGTCTTATTCAAGAAAGAATACTTACGGAAGTCAGAGGGAATTCATGCTTCATTGCTTTCCTGAATATATTGAGAGAGACTTCAGCATATGCTCAGATGTTTTCTTAAACTGGGAATTTAAAAGGGTTTATAAAATTAAAAGACAGTATCATTGCAGACATTATTAAAAATTCGGATTAGTGTTGTTATTATGTAGATGTTTTCTTCAGTAATATCACACATCACCATAAAATTTACTTTTTCAAATAGCCTCCTTACAGTCATTACAGTAATTGAATGAAAATATAGTCACTGTCGCTCCAGAAGCACTGACTCTTTTAATGTCACTATTTCACACAGCTCAGACATGCACAGCTGGGTTTTTTGCCTATCTCACTTCATTCATGAACATCTTAACTTTATATAGGGGTATTTGTGGTAAAAGTAAATTAATTCTTGGTCCCACTGGTAGTAAGGTTATACTTTACATAACAAAGTTTATTGACAATATTTAATATTTCTCTTTGTGTAGTTCTTTTCACCTGAACTCATTCTGAATTAAAAGTATATAATATGTTTTTTAAAACACCAGCAGGAATTTAATATATATAGCCATAATGTTGGTGAGGAGATGTAAAGATTTTTCAGTGTCATGGCTTTTTCCTGTTACAGGGATGATTTAGTTAAATGCTGTGCACCGATAAATGAATACCTGGTATTACTCTTTAGCTGAAATAAAAACATAAAGCTAAATAAAGTAATAATAGCAGTACTAAATATCTTTTCATAATTTAATTCATACAGCTTCTATATCAACATATTAAGTGTTACTATTATTAATTTTTAACTAGAAAAATTAAAACGACGTAGTTGTGTAAATATATATGCCTAAAATCTAAGGCTTTAAAGAATATCTCAAAAATATTAACCAAAAAAATCTATCTTGACTAGTCTTGAATAGACTATCTTGAATAGTCTATATAACCTCTGAAAATAAAACAGATCATTGCCTTTCAATGATACAAACAATAAGCAAATCTTTTTAATGGTATCTGGTCATGCATTTTCTGCAATTTAGGATGCATTGCTTTAGAAATTGCCAAATCTCTTCTGAAGGGAGTTTCTCCATGGCATACAATGGGAATATATAATCTAGTGGGAAATTGTAAATGTTAGGTCTACTGCTGAGTTAAATTTTTGTCATACAAATATTCCCTGGATTTAGCACTAGAAATTTTTCTCACCATTGTCAAATTCTTCATATATGATAAAAATCATTATAGGAGGTTGCTGTGTTGTTGATTTGAAATTTTTGAAAATGTGTTTTTTATATTTAATCAAAATTAGTATTCCATCAAAAATGAGTTTCTTGTTCACTTTGTGTAGGTTGGGTCCAGTTACATCTTTTCATGTACTGGAAAATCACAGGATTATAGAATATGCTGAGTTGGAAGGGACCCGTTAAGAACATCAAGTACATCTCCTGTGCAAGACACCCCAAGAATCACACCATGTGCCTCAGGGTGTTGTCCGAACACTTCTTGTACTCTGTCAGGCTTGGTGCTGTGACCACTTCCCTGGGGAAGCTGTTCCAGTGTTCAGCCACTGCCTGGGTGCAAAACCTTTTAGTGATAGCCAAACTAAACCTCCCCTGACTCAGTTTCATGCTGTTTCCTCGAGTCCTGTCACTGGGAATGAAGAGATCAGTACCTGCTCCTCCTTGTCCTGTCCTGAGGGCGTTGAAGACCACAGTGAGTTCTCCCCTCAGTCTCCTCACTTTCAGGCTGAACATGAAACCATTCGAGGTCACATTACAAGTGGCCTCGTAAGGTTTTACCTCCAGACACTTCACCATCCTCATGGCTCTCATTTAGACACTCTCTAATAGCTTGATGTCTTTTTTATATTGTGGTGCCCTAGACTGGCCCCAGCACTCAAGATGAGGCTGCCCCAGTGCAGAGCAGAGCAGGACAGTCCCCTCCCTTGCCCAGCTGGAAATGTTGTGCCCAGGAGACATGGTTGGCCCTCCCATGGTTGGCTGCCAGGGCACTGTTGACTCATATTCCACTTGCCATTAACCAGGATGGCAAAATTATTTAAATATTTTTATTTTATGCAAATTTAGAGATGGCGTCTTTATTAGCAGTAATGAACTGAAAGTCTCTTTACTTATCTAGCTATGTTTCAGTAATATTGAATTTTGTTAACCATTTATACACAGTGGGAATGAGGCCCTAATTTAAATTCAGTACTGATACTGTTATTTGTGGCTAGCATTATCTTTAGTAATTTGATTTTTCATTTCATATGTAAATTAAAGACAAAGAATGAAAAATAACAGTAAAGCTTTCAACTGAAAGCTAGAAAAAGACAATAAAGTAATTAAAATGCTCATTTTTTTCACCTAACTTTATTTCCCAGAATGGCTTTGTTAATGACTAGAAAGTAAGCAAAATGGAATCGATAAGTCATCTGCTCTTTGTTGCAATCATTACCTAGTAGTTTTCTCTTTTAATCTTTTATCTCTCTTTAGTCTTTATTCTGCATGTCAAAATCTAGTCACTTTCTGCATTATATGCTTCGTACACTCCAAAATACAGTTCACTGAATAAGTATTCTGATTTCAACTGAAATGCGTTCCAGCTTAAAGTTTTCATCCTATGAGATAAAGAGGTTTGAGGGAGAGAGAGGTAAGAGAAAAAAGTCAGAGTAGGCTACTTATTGTCTCTTACAGGCTCTACAAAGCAATATATTATCAAGTGAAATTATGTAGACTCTTGGAAGAACGATTTAGGGCTGTTATTGTCTCAGCTTCTTTCACAGAAGATATCCACTTATCTTAAAAGGTGACTTTATAAATGAAAGTTAGTAATGCTGTAACTCCTTCACTTATTTATTCTCCGAGTAAAAAGAAATACCTTTTTTTAACAGCAGAGAGAGTAGCTGCATTTTCCTGCACTTTGTCTATCCACATCTGTTGAAACAGTAGAGAGTACATACCTCTAAGTTTCTGCTTTGGTTCTGACTACTCTGAACTGTGTGACTGCTACATAAGAGTGGAAAAGAATGAATTCTCTATGGAGGCTGGGGATATAGGATGGTATCTCTCATTGAATTCAGTACTTCATAGTCCTGGTCTATTTTTCTGCACATTACAAGTCATCTTTCTAGGAAATAATTGCTGATTACAAATTTTAAGATAGAAAATGCATCAGAACTGGGAACAGCTCATCAAAGAGACTCATGTTTCAACATAAATGATTCCATGATTCTGTGTTACAGATTAAGTTTTTGGCATGCAGTCTGTTATTAAATCTGTTGTGATGTTTCTGTGTTTATTTGCGCACATACTTATAAATACATACTAAACTGCAAAATGTGCATTGGCAACCGCTGTGCTATTTTAAACAATAAAGACCCTAAAATTTCACTGAATCAAATATTCTGTCATCATATTGTTATTCCTCTGTGGCAACCAGCATGGAGTAGGCAATATTGTTGTTCCGAGGCAAAGTTGACAATTTTTCCTGAAGAATTGCTTTAAGTTACAGCATAATGCAGTGATTCCATGTGAAAGCAGCCCAGTGTATAGTTATACACATGCATGTAAATAAATCTGTTGAGTATGTTATTGACAAGCATAATTAAAGAATAACAATGCTTCATCTATTATTTACAAGGCTTTCTCACAAGCAGCAGCATGACAGAAAGGTTACCTGTGTGTTATCCAGCTACACAGGAGAAAGGGAGCAGATATGTTCTAGTTTAAAATGATTGCCTAATATCTCACTGTGTCACAGCTCTCTCTCAGAGCAGCTCTCAGCTGCCTGTGAGCTGGCTCTTCACAGTATGAACACAGTCACTCAGAGAGGCATGGTGCAATCTTCTGTCATTGTACACCCAAATTAAATCAGCTCTTGAAGAATTTTGACGTTATAGAGCCAGAAGAGGAAAGGGATGTTCTCTGAAACAGATCTGGTTCTTCTTGGCTCTCGTAAGCCAATTCAAATGTTCCTCCTCAGCTATTTAATACAGCATTTGGTTTAGTTGCTTTTGTGCCTCCTTAATGCTACTCTTGGGAGGTGCCTGGAGTCCCTCGCTCTGCTGTATGTTTGGGGTGTCTACAGCTGTATCCCACAAAAGCTGAAGATGAGCAGAAGCCAAAGGGTAACTAGTGGGAGAGTACAGGAAGGCTAAAAGTATTCCCAGCTGGATAGGTGCTTTGTGCATTCTATGTTCAAATGCAAGCTGCCCTTTGTCAAAATCTAAGCTTGTGCTTATCTAAGATTTAAGGCTTAAAATAGGTTCTTTTCCTCTGTGTCTGTGATGAAGATTAGGTCTCTCATCCCTGCTGGAGCGCCTCAGCTAAATTTAACTCTGAGTTTTGGAAAGACTTGCTCGTAGGATTATGGTACAGCTGTGGAAACTACTGCTGTTGTTTTGGTTGAGGATTTGTAAGACAAGAGAAAATATATATGCAAAGAGAAAATATGTATTTATTTAAAAAAAATATATTTATTAAAAAAAAAAATATTCATGCTAGGGGGGATGACTGTAGACCTGAAGGAAGGAGTTACATAGCTGAATATTTTCAAGGAGAAAGTCTGCAACAGCACAGGTCAAAGCCAGCACTAACACAGAAGGGTAGTGCCCCCCTCACCCCATTAACTGTATGTCTGTCTAGAAACACAATTGACAAGCACATAGTAAGCTTTATGTCTTGCTTTCTTCTCAAACAAATGTAATTGCAATGAACTGCTAAGCAGTTACATTCTGGTATGGGAAAGCTGTGTGGTGTTGCTTACATTTGCTAATGCATTTTGGTCATAACTTTATTTCAAGGTGTCTGCCTTTATTTCTTTTCCAGGTACAGGTCCTTCGCAATGCAGGGGAAGAAGTGACCCTAACTGTGTCCTTTCTGAAAAGAGCACCTGCTTTTCTCAAACTGCCACTGAATGAAGATTGTGCATGTAAGCCTTTATTCCATGACCAAAGAACCCTCAATTCAATGCCCATGAACACTTGCAGCTTCTGAAACTACAGTTCATTGAGGGTGATTGACAGCAGCTTTTACAATCAGCATAAGTGTCTAAATATGAGTTGCTCCTATTCCCAGGGCTTGTGTTAACACTGACCTCAAGAGAAAAATTGCTATCTACGGTAGAAAAACAGATAACCAGATATTTGGCTGGTGTGAATCAGTAAAGTTGCAGGTAAAACAGTCGAATTATATTAGTTTGCAATAGCTCACATCATGGTGCAGAGTATTTAAAATCAATTTTTCAGGCAGCATCAGCTAGTATTTTAGTCCCAGGGAGTTTTTTCTTGTAAATGTGAAAATGAGATTGTGTATATATTTAGAGAACTTTGCTGTTTAAAATTCAGAGGCTTTGGTGGAGATGTCTGTCTACCTAAGAAGAAATTACTCTGGAATAATAAGTATTTTGTTTTAGTCCAAACTGAGTTTTAGTGAACTAGCCCCATGAGAGCCATATGGAGACAGCTGTCTTCCTTTAATTATATTAAATTGTAAGTGTGGATGCATAATTATAGACAATTGCAGCATATCTAACCATATTTATATATCAGCCTGTGCCTTTTGCCACCTCTGCTTTCCTTCTGCTTTTTGCTCACTAAGAGAGTAAATTAAATTGCTCAGATTTAAAGCAAAAAAACTATAAATATTTGATTTCAATACTTATAGCCTTTGATTTTAAGTTAGTAGGAATTAAATAATCTAAAATCACGAAATAGCATTTTATACAAACATTTGATGGAATATTGTCTTTTTCTTTTGCTTATGTATTAAATTTATATGAAACAAGAAAAAAATCACTCACTGTATTCTTAAATAAAAATACATCACAGTACTTTCTCCCTTTTATGAAAGGCTGTGGTACCACAAAGTAGCCTGAGTGTTGCACAGGAATGTAATTTCCTAAACCATTACAAGAACATTTAGAACTGTAAACTCCACTGAGAGTAACAAAGGGGTTACCTGACAAATTCCTTCCAGTAAAAACCAACAGAGAAGGTACACACTTCCATTTTATTGTCAAATTTGAAAGAAATGTTGTGGGATTTTTTTTCTTACCAAGGAGAAATTAATTTTGTTTTAATCAAAGCATTGGGAAAGGTTTTCTTGAGCCTCCATTTAGCTTACAAAGGCAATCCACTCAAGCCAGAAAACAGATTTGGCTGAATGGAGAAAGTAAATGAATGTTATATATGATAGAAGTTTTTTGGGTTTGAGGAGAATGCATATGTGCATATACAAATTTGAATTATGTCATCATAGATTAACGAAGAATTTTCTTGTGAATTTGTACTTGTATTAGGTGCCCCCAGTGACCAAAGCAGTGGCACATCCTCTCCACTATGTGACAGTGGTTTGCATCTCAACTACCACCCCAACAACACGGTAAGAGCTTGAATCTCCTTGATGGAATTACACAGAAGAATAATTATAGTATAATAGCTAAGTGGAAATACTAATAAAGGACATTAACAGGGAGGAGCTCTAGCTAACTCTGGAGACAGACAGTTCTGTAGTGGGAAAAAAGAGTAGCCAGAAATTATGGCTGGGAATTAAAATGTGACAAATTATTACAGCTGAGTTTGTGCCTTGATGCAAGTGATTACTGTTTACTTGGGCAGTAGGGATTTTGCAAAAGTTTTTCCTTCTAAATTTTTTTCTCTGCATAGGAATTAAAATTCTTAAAATGAAAATATTTCTATTTATAAAAACAGAAGAAAAGTTTTTTGAGAATATTTTCCATTACTTATATTGTGTGCATTATCTAAAGCTTTTGGCAAAAGATGATTAGGTGCATGTTTTTGCCTATTTTTAAGGTGAGAGTGTTTTACTTCTGGTAATGTGTACTTAAAATCTTATCTGAATTGGGATAACATTATGGAGCAGAGTGTCTCTGGGATAAAAGGCTACAGATGTCTGATCAGATATTTACTAAAAGACTTCTTTGAAGTGCAACAAGGGACTTAAAAACTTTTTCTTAGCCAGAAAATGCAAAATTTCCTTTATTTTATACAGTTCTAAAGGTTTTTTTTGCTCACTGTTTGGCTTTGTGATAGATGGAAATAGAAAAATAAATAGAAAAATAAAAATATAGATCATAATTAAAAAAAAAAATTAAAACCTGAAACATAAGCCATACTAAGCAGCTATTTCTAGTTTCTATCTTGTTTTATTGTGCTTTCATATTTTTCTATTAAAGGTTTTAAATAGCAGCCCACAGATTTAAATATCAATGCCACAGATTTAAACACAATTGTAATCTGGAAAACTCTTGAGAATTGTGCACATTTTAGGAAGTGGAATTTATAAACAGATAACATCAATAAAATTGATATCAAAGAACAATAAAAATATATGTAACTTGTGCAGCAACAACAAAAGCAGACTTGTCTCAGGAGTTTATATCGGTATGTATGTCTGTGTGTAAAACGGCTATGGCAGTAGATCCTAAGCTGATTAATTCACCTAACCACTACAATTCTAATTTTGCTTTTATGTTAAAAAACATGCTTTCCTTTGTGAATTCTTTTTTTGCAGGTGTCAAAACTAATCTAGATGAGCTGTAGTTTCTATTTGAACTGACAATAATTTACTGAAACCAAGTGTTTTTCTTTCAGTTTAAAGAATATAATCTTGTGTCACAAGCCTATAATTCACCCTAAATTAAATTTTCAAGTGAAGACCCAAGATGTGGTTCTGACATGTCCCCTTGTCATGGGAACAGAGTTCTTCATAAAACCAAACCTTTGTATGAGTTCCTAAGCTATGTACAACTCTTATGCCACAGATCTGAATTTTTCACAGAATATTTTTTAGAAGGAAGTATGACAGCTGGATAAACATGATCAGTGAGCAACTGGCTCATGGTTGGACCCGAAGAGTTACAGTAAACAGAGTGAATTTAGGTGACTTGTCACTAGTGGGGCTCTGCTGTATCTTAGGCTCAGTCCTCATCAACATTTTGATCAGTGACTTGGGTTCAGGACTCAAAGGGATACTAAGTAAGTTTGCGGATGATACAAAAATTTGGAGGGACTTTTGATTCCCTCAAAAGCAGGGAGGCTTTACAGAGAGACCTTGTCAAATCTGTGGGCTGAGCAGCCATCAACCTATGAAATTTAACAAGGGCGAGCTGGATTCTGCACGTGGGAGGGGCAGCCTCTGGATGTACAGGCAGGCTGGGGAAGGAGAAGCTGGTAAGCAGTGTCACAGAAAGGGACCTGGGGACCCTGGTCGATGGCAAAGTGAACGTGAGCCAGCAGTGCCCTGGCAGCCAGGAGGGCCAACCCTGTCCTGGGCTGCATCAGGCACAGCATCGCCAGCCTGGCAAGGGAGGGGATTGTCCTGCTCTGCTCTGCTCTGCTCTGGGACTGCTTCACCTCGAGTGCTGGGGGCAGTGTATAAAACTGTATAAAAATAGTATAAAACAGGTACAAAGCTGTTAGAGAGCTCCAAAGGAGGTCAACAAAGATGGTGAAGGATCTGGAGGAGAAGCTGTATGAGAAGAGGTCACTTGTTCTGTGCAGCCTCAAGAGGAGGCTGAGGGGAGACCTCATTGCAACTTCCTTGTGAGAGGAAGAAGAGAGGCAGGCACTGATCCCTTCTTCTGTGTGACCAGTGATAGGACCCAAGGGAATGTTGTGTCTATGAGGTTTAGGTTGGGTATTAAAACAAGGTTCTTTGCTTAGGGGATGGAACACTGGAACAGGCTCCCCAGGGAAGTGGTTACAGCATCAGCTTCACAGAGGGCAAGAAAAAACTCTCAGGAACATTGTGAGATTGTTGGGGATGTCCTGTGCAAGGACAAGAGTTGGACTTGATGATCCTTGGGGTCCCATCCAACTCAGACATTCAATGATTCTGTGAAGTACAGCCACAGTCCTGTTTCTTAATTTATAGTCTTTTTAATTCACTTAAAGGAGGCTTTTGACTCAGAACTTGGAGTAGACAAGACTTTGGTCTTTTGTCAACAGTTTACAGAGTTATGCAGTCTAAAGGTAGGGTTAACATTTTTGTTGTAGCCTATATAGGCCATATCTAGGCCTACAGTTTGTACCTGAACTTTTACTGCTTTTCATCTTTTCCCCAAGTTTAATCACAGGTAAAGAAAGGTTCCCAGAAGCAAAGAGAAAACATTAAAAATTCAAGATGTACAAAACAACATTCTAGCATAGTCTTCCTAGTAATAATTTATTTATTTTTATTGAATCTGTAGAATTTCTCACCAGAAATTCAGTGTTTCAACTAAGTGAACTACCTGTAAAAATCTTGCTGTTCAGCTAACATGATATTTATTGTGATATTTTGTTTCATATATGTAAAAGATATATGAACATATATGCAAAACTAAAGTTCAAATTGGTAAAGTTTTATAAATCCTTTATAATCTTACACAGGATGTACACTCTAGAAAAATAGAAGGTGTACTTAATTTTGGTAATATTAATATTATAAAAGATAGTAAGAAAAATATAAAGTTTGAGATTTAAAACAATGTAAATCAGCAGGTTTCATTTTACTGATATGTTGATATACTGTCACTTGTTACTTGGGGGAAGAGGCCAACACTCAGCTGGCTACAGCCTCATTTCAGGTGGTTGTAGAGAGTGATAAGTTCTCCCTGAGCCTTTCTTTCTCCAGGCTGAACAACCTCACCTCCCCCAGCTCCTTCTCACAGGACTTGTGCTCCAGACCCTTTTCCAACCATGTTGCCCTTTTCTGGACACGCTGCAGCACCTCATCGTCCTTGTTGGAGTGAGTGGCACAGCACTGAATACAGCACTCAAGGTGTGGCCTCACCAGTGCCAAATACAGGGGAACAGTCACTGCCCTGGTCCTGCTGGCCCCACGTTTTCTCATCAGGATGCCAATGGCCTTCTTGGCCGTCTGGGCACACACTGACTCATGGTCAGCTGTGTTGACCAGCACCCCCAGGTCCTTTCTCATCATACAGGTTTCTAGTCACTCTGCCCACAGCCTGTAGTGCTGCCTGGGGTTGTTTTGGCAAAAGTGCAGGACCTGGAGCTTTGTCTTGTGAATCTCATACAATCGGCCTCAGTCCATTGATTCAGTCTGTCCAGATCCCCCTGCAGAGCCTTCCTACCCTCCAGCAGATCAGCACGCCTGTCCAGCTTGATGTCAGCTGTGAACTCATGGTGCACTTCATCCCCTCTTCCAGATCATCAGTATTAAATATTAAACAGTGCCGGCCCCAACACTGAGCCCTAGATAACACCAGCCATGACTGTCCACCAACTGAATGTATCTCCACTCACTACCACTCTCTGGGCTTCTCCATCCAGCCATTTTTTTAACCAGTGAACTGTGTATCCATTGAAGCCAGGAGCAGCCAGTTTCTCTAGGAAAATGCTGTGCCAAAGGCTTTACTAAAGTCCAGGTTGAGAACATCTACATCCTTTCCCTCGTCCAATAGATTGGTCACCTGGTCATAAATGGAGATCAGGCTGGTCAGGCAGGATGTGCCTTACATGAACCTTTGCTGGCTGGGCCTGATTCCCTGTTTGTCCTGTACATGGTGTGGGATGGCACTCAGGATGATCTGCTCCATGACCTGCCCCAGGTCCAGCTGACAGGCCTGTAGTTCTCCAGATCCTCCTAATGGCCTGTCTTGTAGATGGCAACATATTTGCCAACTTCCTGTCAATTGAGACCTCACTGGTTAGCCGGTACTGCTGGTAAATGATGGAAAGTGACTCACTGAGCATTTGTGCCAGCTCCCTCACTATCCTTCTGTGGATCCCACCTGGCCACGTAGACCTGTGTGTGCCTAACTGCGGCAGCAGATCACTGACCACTTCCCCTTGGATTATGGTAGTTTCAGTCTGCTCCCTATCCCTGTCTCCCAGCTCAGAGGTTTGCTACCAGGCAAATAACTGGTCTTACTATTAAAGATTGTGGTAAAGAAGGCATTAAATACCTCAGCCTTTTCCTCATCCTTTGTTGCTGTGAGAAGGCACTTTGAAGAATCGTGCTCTCTCAGAAAAATAACATCATCGTTAGCACTATTTTATAAAGCATTTTATAAAGAAAGAGATGTATTTTTAGAAACAGATGTTGATAATTTAACTTTTTATAAGCATTTTTCATGGAAATCTATATTCTTTAAAAATGCTGGTCAAATTAGATTCTAGATATTTAAATACTCATTCTTTGTAGATATGATCACATAAACATGATAAAGTTCAGTTTTCATATAAGCAATGTCTTCTGTAAGTAGGTAAAATTAAAATATTCATCACTTCAGCATGTAGTTTTGACAATTTTGACAATTTTCATCACATGTTAAATTCCATTCCCAATTACCATGTTTTGAGGTGATATCATTAGAAAAGATATGTATGTAAATGTGTACAGAGCCACAGGAAACTACTGAATTATGGTTGTATTGTGAATAATTTAGAGGTCCCATTCAGAGTCTTTCCAGTGCTTACTAAAACTAATGACAAGTGACTTGGGAAAAATGAAACACTGCCAAATTAACTATAAGTCTTTGAAGTCTATCTGTTTATTTCCGAATCCGCTGAGTACTTACAATGAAGTTCAAAACTGAGAAGAACCTTTTAATGTTTTTCAGGATACGTTATCATGTTCCTCATGGCCAGCATCCCCAGGACTTAGGTGGGAGAAGAGGTGGTGTGATCTACGATTAATTCCACTTCTTCATTCACGATTTTCCCAGTACCTTCCAGGATCAGATTTGTGCAGGTAAAGAAGTTCTGAAGGCTGAAACTTGACTTCTTGGTTGACAGATGCATGCCCTAAGGAGTTGCCTTGTTGGAGAAATTGCATTATTAGTTCCATGGCAGCTGACAGATACATGAAATATAGGAGCTTTCATAAAGGTCTTTCTGGGTCCACCTTGGCTCATGTTCTCCTCTGACATCAACTGGACCTGGTACGTGAGGAGATGATGGGTGATCTTTTACTTGCATTTAGTGCTCAGCACCTTTTGCAGTTTGAGATGAAACATATGTCATCATAATTAATAGCTGCTAATGCTCCTGTCCTCAAAAGCTTCTTTCTAAGCAGCTTGTTTTTATATCTTTGATATTTGCAATGGATTATGGCATTGAGGTCTACAATGTGATTACATTTTAAAATGTATTTCCTTCTGTTTGTGTTAAATACATCATCTGACACCTACATTGGGTGAAATAATCTTGTTTGAGAGCAGCAAGGGCTGGCTGCCCCATGAGGAAGATAAGCCAAGAGAGAGGGTGGCAATGAGGCTGGACAAGGAGTAGTCCATGTAGACAAAGATCCTACCCCACTGCTCCCCATGGAGGAACAGAGAAGGCTTAGGGACAGTCTTCAGAGGAGTCCATAGTGGTCAGGTGGGGCTGGGAAGTCAGCCTAGAGGTCCAAATCAGTGGGATACATGTCCAGGCACAGGAGTGGCTGCAACCATACTCCAGTGAGGACCATGAGCAAGAGCCTGAGCTGATAAGAATCTCCCAGTTCTTGTACTTCTTTGCTTTATGTTTTTAGCTACAGTAGGGAGTTGTTGTTTTTGGTTTTGTTGTTTGTTTTTTTTGGGTTTTTTTTTTTTGTTTCCATATAGCAAAGGTTATTTTTTCCCATGTTTTACTTTTCATGTGTTAACATTTAATTTCATTGTCACAATCACAATATATAGCTATCCAAAGCTCATAGCCACTATGTGATGGGTTGACCATGGCTGGACGCAAAGTATCAGCCAAGTTTCTCTATCACTCCCCTCCTCAGCAGGACAGAGGGGAAGAAAATAAGATTGAAATATTATGATGAGTTAAGATAAAGGCAGTTTAATAAAGCAAAAGCAAAGACCACACATGGAAGCAAAAAAAACCAAAATATTTGTTCTCTACTTCCCATCAGCAGGTGAAGTTCAGTCACTTCCTGGGAAGTAGGGCTTTGGTACACGTAGTAGTTGCTCTGGAAGACGAGTGTCATAATTAATTCCCCTCCACACCTTCCTTTCTCCTAGCTTTCATTGCTGAGCAGATGTCATTTGGTATAGAATATCCTTTTGATCAGTTTGGGTCATCTGTCCTGGCTATTTCCCCTCCCAAGATTTTGTTTCCCCAGCCTGTTGGTGAGGAGGGAATGTTGGAACAACAGCTCTGATGCCATGCCAATTCTGCTTAGCGGTAGCCAAAATAATGTTGTGCAATCAATATCTTTCTACCTACCCATACAAAGCACAACACTATGAGGGCTGCTGTGGGGGAAATAAAATTCATTTCAGAAAGACCCAGTCTAGACCTAGAACCTGACATTGTTTAATTTAATATAATAATTTAATATTATCCTAATAAATCAGAAGAAATTAGGAGGGACGACAAGAATATTCTGTAATGATTACTGTTTGTAAAGCAATGAAATAGAAATGAAAGTAGCTACAAAGTCCAACAAGGCAAGTATATAAGATCATACTTGTTAAAACTTTTAAGCATGTAGCTATTGTGTGGATTCATTTATCATCTATATATATAAAAATTAAGTTCTCACACTGAAATACTTCTGTGAGCTCTAGTATGGAAAGACATTAACCGTAGGAAAGCTGTGTACAGCTACAGAGCAGGTTACTCCATAATTTCTTCTAATGAACCCCCTAGGAGTAGATTTATGAAACTTCCAGAAACTTAGGGAAGAGAAATCTTCTTCAATCTGTTTGGGATTTTTGTGGAGTTAATTTTACTGGTTTTTATTGGTATTCAATAAACATTTGAAAGTTGCACAAAAGCTGTGCACTGCCTTGGTTGGTTCTTAGGGCTGTTGTTTCTTAGAATTACACTGCCTAGGTCTGCCAGCCATTTCTCCTGTTCACAGAGCTGAAATTAATGCAGGTTAGGCAGTAGCTGTTGTAGATCATTGGAGCCAAAGCCAGCCTGCAGCTTTTGACCAGTAATAGTAGGGTCATATTTACCTGGCTGCGTGAACCTCCGTCTGTGGAGGAGCAGTGGCTGGCCCAGGGAGGCAAGGTGGAAACCAAAGTCTACAAAGGCTTCTTGGCCGAACTGAACTGGAGCAGGATCAAGTCACCAGAGAGGCAGGAGGTGTTCTACTATATTCTGTGGAAGCCTTCAGCATAAATGAAGCATAAAGCACCCAAAAGCATAACATAAAATCTGAGACCTATTCTACTGTGTACTTCAGATAAGGTATTGAATTGAATGGAATTACTCACATGGAAAATTAGCACATAAGCAGCTGTTCATAGATCTAGGGTTTTAAAATTCAGTCTTCTGCATCAATAAAAAACAAGCTTAATATTTATATTATAGAACGTGTACATAACAAAGGAAGTGTCTCAGGTAGTAATGATATACCTGAGATCTGAACTTCTAGAAAATAAAGGTATATTAGTATGAAACAAAATACCTGAACTCATACTCAAACCTTGAAAAACTCCTCTGATATTTTTTCCTTTTGTCCTTCTGTTCTAACATGAAGAAATAAGTATTAAAAAAACCCAAAAATGCAGGATGTGTATGAGAGAGGGTTTTTCTTAAAGCATAGAACCAACATTTTATGTTGCTAGCAAGACAGTTTATACGACTATTTAAAATTACTGGAAACATTTTTAAATGTTACTCCCTCTCAGAATTTGTTATGAGAGAAAGGTAGATACTTTTTTAAGGGACTACTAGAAACATCAACATAAAAGAAAGGGTATTAAAAATAATATATGGACGCATCATGAAATGAAAGCTAATGCATTACATTTTCCATAGTTAGTATTTACAAGGCTGTTTTCACTATGTAAAGCCTAATAACTTTTTATAATTCAGCATTTGATATGGAAATATATTGTTCTCACATACATAAATAAATGCTAGCAGCACTACCTGAAGTTTCTTTTAATATATCTTCCTCAAAATTTTACTGCAATTATTGTGAAAATGAGTCTGAAAGAAGTCTGTCTTGGTTGTTTGTTTTCTTTTTTTTTGTTTTGTTTTTGGTTTTTTTTTTTTGTTTAAAAAACCCAAACTGTTGCACAGTGGGTTTTTTTTTTTTTTTTTTTGGTGTGGATTTATAGAAAAATCACTACACCTGAGAAAGAGAACTAAACTTCTGGATTTAAATAAACCAAAGAACTCTGAAAGAGCATGTTAATATAAGCCTCATTATCCTGAAAAAAGCTGGTTCTCATGCTAGAACACTCAAAGCAAAGGCAAGGCTCTAGTTCATTTCTGTTGCTTCTCCTGACTGAAGAAACAGTCTGTTCTCAACATGGATAGAGTGAAGACAAATATTAGCCTTACATTTAATACAACTAGAATAAAATTTTAAGAGGTAAAAGAACCCAAACAAGCAGCTTTTCAAAATTGATATCTGTCTTCAGGTGCCAGAAGTTGTCAATAGTGACACTCAGTTTTACTCTGGAGATAACAGGCACTTTGCTTGAGTCATTTTCAAAGCATCTGAATGATGGAGTTAATCTTAACTATGAATTGGTCATTAACAGTTGGGCTTGTAGCAGAATGTCAGCAGTGGAACTTGGTGTTCTCTGTATGTTCAGTAATCTCCTGTTCTGGGATATGGATTATTATTGAGGTTTTTCAGTTTTGAAGACAGAGACCTGTGAGCCTTACAAGAGCTTTTAACAAATAAAGCAATTTACTGAAGAAATTAGGTCTGTTACTGCTTTGGCATCTGAAAAATTTTCTCTTGTTCTAGAATTGCTCAGTGTCTGGAAGTGGAAAATCAGTATATAATGCATGATAGATTTTTGTATATATGCCCAGATTGGTTCTGGGGGTAGAGGCAGAGGTAGGAGTGTATTTTGGTAATGATCCTGTTTTCAGAAATGCAGTTGGAAAGGTCATTAATGCTACTTGATCAATTTTTACTTCTCCAATTTTTCCATCAGTAATTTAGAAGAGAAGCACAATTCTATAAGCTTGAGCAGCCAACAAGGGGCCTCCAGACAGTAATCCAAAAGTGTTTAGACACTATATTATAAAAATAAAACAAAGGTGTTGAGAAAATATACTGGTGTTCACTGAATTTGCCAAATTATTGCCTATGGTTTCTAATGCACTTTCCTTCTCTGTAGCCTGCTGTATTAAAGTATTAAGTCTTAGGTAAGCATTAACTCTATCACTTGTTCAGCTTCTGAGGTTGTACAGCCTGCTGGTCAAGTCTGTGGAGCTGGTCTATGGATTTTTTATAGCCTTATGGAAGTTTAATGTTGTCTGAGTTGACCTTTTAGCATGATTGTTTTAATATGTCAGGTATTTATAAAACGGAAAACCAGCGTTTTGTCAGTGTTCACTGGCTGACCTTCATTGTGGTTGAAAGGAAAACATTTTTACAAGTATTGTTAAGATGATATGCTAGAAAAGATAAAATTTTCTTCTGACCTGATCTGTTATGATATGTCTATAGGCAAAATGCGTTCCAAGTAATTGCTGTGGATGGGGTTTGCAGTGGAATAATTCAGTGTCTTTCTGCTGAAGACTGTATTGACTGGCTACAAGCAATAGCAAGTAACATTTCCAACCTCACAAAGCACAATGTAAGTATGGATCCAAGTAAGCCAGAAGGTTTCCTAATCATATTTGATTATAACTGTCATAAAAGCCTAATGGGTTCACACACAGAATTATCTGCATATAAACAATGCTTGAGGCTGTTTGAGAGAAGTCAAATCAAGTTTGTTGTCAAATCCGACTCTGTGAGAAACCATTGAATAGGAAAATATTCTTCCCTACAGTCATATAATTCACTTTGTTGCTATCAGAGTTATTCGCTTCATAGCTATACCAATTAGGATTAGAAGCAAAGACCAGACACACAGGAGGAAGCCAGGTGTGGTGCAGGAGCACATAGGTAATACAAAAATTCTGTACTTTCTTCATAGTACATGTCTACAGAAACTGGTATAACCAGATCTGAATTAGATTTTAGGTCCGTCTAGGTGTCGTTTATCAGGATGGGAAAGGCAAGGTGCTTCTGTGGTGTAGATACAGACATTTGTTATCAGCAGTGATTAAATGCATTTATGCTTCATGCACGGCACTCTTACCATCTGAACTTGTGGGATAGATACCAATTTTTATTGAAGCAGATATAAATGTTCTGTAAAAGTTTTTTCAAATACTCAGTTCTATTAAGAGGTCTTCTGGACCTGCCTGGAATGTATTTACATTTAAAAATGAACATGTAGTTCTCCATGTATAGAAATCCGTATGATACCTTCCGTGGTTTTCCTAAAAAACTGAGAACACATGGGGAACTCCATTATTTTGAACTGAGTTATAGCAAGGAAGCCCTTGAGGATTTAATTTATATTTCCTTAAATCTGCTTTAGCTTCCCGAATCTGTCTCTGAATTTTCTTTTGTTTCAAATATAGGGAACACATTGAAGGAAGCTGTATTTTTTTGAGATTTATAATCAAGATGCAAAACTGTGTTCCATCTGGCAGCAATATGTAAAAGTCATTGTATTATAAAAACATGACAGACATGAATTCATCTGCCATCTGCAAGCTTCCATGCTGTACCAGCGAACTTTATGGCTATTTATTCATACTTAAAATGCTGTTGCTATGTAGAACCTTTATTGTCTTGCTAGGCACCCCGACAACTGAGGCTTCTGGGTTTTTTTCACTTGCCATCTTTACTTCAGTCTGCTAATGGTTCTTGCTACTTAAATTGGTGGATTTATTTGCTTGTAACAGTAGGCAGAGGCACCTAAATTTTACAGGTGTTTTGAAACACTTCAGCTCTGATGAGACTATAATTATGGTTACTTAGCATAACTTGAATTTTGGCAATGCAATGTTATTACATGAATTTTTTTCTGAGTACAGTTTATAATTCTACACTGGTTTCCATACATACAGAAAGAAATTATCTAATGCTTTCTAAGAGGTAAATAGCCTAAATTATGCAGCTGTTATGCCAGTCTTTGTACTTACTTTACCCCAAAGACATCCTGTAAAGTAGCCCTGAGAGTTATGGCTTATGATAATTATCCATGTGTCTAATTTTAGAATTGTCCTATTTGTTCATAGCTCTTACAAATTTATGGAAAACTATGACACTCTCCTTCCTGTAATATACTTTTCTTTTAAATTGTCAGTTGCCAGAAAGAATTAGTTATTTGACAGCACAAGTGATAAGTGAATATAAGAAACCTGAGGAACACAGAGAGGGAAAAAACCCAAACTGTTGCACAGAAGAATGATTAGATGTGATTAGAGGTCCCTGTATTTTTTTTTTCCTTACGAGATGGCTATTGACATGCACATACTGTTGATGTTAGCATTTTTCCTATCTGAGAGAGGCATTTACTCACAGTCATTCTCCCTTACTGTGTCATCCAGAGCCAAAGAAACAGAGAGAGTTAAGGATTTTTTCCTAAGTCTTTGGATAAATTGACCAATTTTTAGTTTCAATTAACTTCTCATTCCTATCTAGTGGTTACAGAAAATAATCTGTTTAATTAAAATACCATGCAGCTCATATAAATATTGACTTACATCATGTTTCTCATATCTATCTACATTTTGTAAAAAAAAAAAAAAAGGAAATAGAATCAGAAAAAAGGACTATAACAGCTAGATTGTTAATGAAAGCACTTCCTTTACCCTGGATCAAATCTGGGCTCTGTACATTTTGGTGGAATTTCTCTTGCCTAACTTCAAATGTCTTAAAGCAGAAAATCCAGAGTGAATCTTATTATTTACTGTTGACATCCATTTTATAATGAAATCAATTCCCTAGGGCATGTCTGTCTTTCCTTTGACTGGTAAAGGACCCTAGGGTGGTGAGTTCATACTTGATACCTAAGGAGATAGATATATATCCTGATAACCTGTCATTTGTGTCTTTGAGAGGCCAAAGCGAGTTTTTCTGAATAAATCTCCCCAAGAAATGCCTGGATATTTTTGACAAAAAAAAAAAATAGGTGGTATACTGGTCTGATTCAGAAAATTTGAATTATTTTACTTTTTCACACACAAACTGACTGAAAAATATTATCTGATGGTTCAAATCCCCAAAAATGTGAATAACAAGTCCTATGTTGCCACATGTATGTAACAGTTCTGAATATGGGTCCCTGACTCCAAAATACCTTGTTGAACCTGTAATCAATTCATATTTTCTAAGGATATTATCAAAAAACTCTTCTCTCATGATCCAAAATGTCCATATTTGACACAAACCTGATGCAACTGAATTGCAGGATCAGAAGTATAGCCAGTATCTACCAAGGATATAACAGAAATGCAGAAATAGAAGCTAATATAAAATGCCTTGACATGATCTCCATTTTTGAAAGGCAGTGTTGCTGACTGAATGGAGTCTGGAAGATTTTTCCTGCATTGGTTATACTACTAATCATTTTACAATACAAGCTAGAACTCACATTATTATGCAAAAAGACAGTTAAAATTTTAATGCAGAGATATAGAAATTATATTTTGACTACTAAGAAGAGATTAAAAAATCCATGCACTGACTGATGTAGTTTACTTAATTTCAGATTGTCTTTCACAGAGAAACCTCAGATATGCACTAATTTTCTTCATCTTCAGGAGGTTAGCACAAGCATCCTCTAGTGTTTTATGGATACTGAGAGTGATACTGCTAATTTTAATTTATTTTGGTCCCAAGAAGCTCATATTTCATATAAGATGAAATACATTAAAATTACACAACATGAATGGGGTTGTATGCTGGTGTGCAACCAAAATGCATACTGTATAAATGCACTGTTGGAAGTGACTTAATATCACACTGTAATTGATGAGATGATGAATAAGGATCATTCATTTCTGAAGATGGATTCCTCTCCAACTTCAGTCACTTGAATTGCATCTGTGTTAAAAATTCACCAGTTTTATCAGTACCTTCAAAAACCAGAAGGGTTATATTAAACCTGAACTTTTTGTCTAAGCAATCCTGATACTACTGAAGTTAATGTGTCGAAATCTGAATATGCTAAATTGAACCTGGGCTTGGAAACTAATTCCTCTATGAAATTATGAGATTCTACATCTTTTTGTTGCCAATTTGGATGGCTGGCAAAAACCATTTAAAAAGGGAACAAGCTGCTGCTTCTTTTCTTGCTAATGGTCCAAGTAGGAATTTTCAATTCAGTTGTTCAATTCAGCTGTGAACTATTTGCCTTTCCATGAACTTTTAAATCGTATTAAGTTAGCTGGTAATTGATACTGATTTCTATTCCTTTACATCTCTTTTTTTAACAGAATTTTAGGATGACAGTATACAATTGGTCACATGGCTTTTAAAGAAATTATACTCTGTAAGAGTCTCAGAAAATAATCCAAAACCATGTGCTCTGTAAAGAACCACCTATTGCCAATACATCCCTAATTCATGTGCTGCAATTGTCAGGAAATTCAAAGGCAAATTTTGTAATGGCTTTAGTCTAGTGGAAGTCAGACATTTTAGGTCTTTCTAAGAAAAGAATAATAAAACAATATATATTTGAGTTTGCAACTTCTATGATATAGCTTAATAGAATTTTTGGGGATTTATCCTCACAACTCAGTACTTGTCACTTGTTCATTGCTTTCTCTGTGGCAGATTTTTCTATAGTGAGGGCAATAATATTTCTTTTCCCTTTCCTCTTCCATAATTTCTGTGAAAAACATTGCAACAGTTACACATTTATGCTTTTTACCTTGGAGCCAGCACTTGACAGCAAAGAAACAACATGAACTTCATCAGACAGGAATGACAGGCAGCTGAGGTAAAGTTTCTAACCAAGAGGTGGCAAAAAGTTTTAAGCTTATCTTCAGAATATCCACAAGATCATACAAGATTTAGTTCACAGTGACTTCACTTTATCCCATTATATTGCATTTTTCTGGGTAAAATAACTCATTTGTGAAATGAATGAGGCACACATAGTTGATGGGAGAAGCACAGCAATAGCATGAAAAGTGGCATTAAGAGGTCTACAAACCAGGTATTGGCCCAATGGGTGTGTTTACCAGAACCTAAGCCTTTGTTCTGAAGAGTTTAAAAGTTCAACTTTAAAAAGTGAACATTTTTGGTGTGCTTAGAAAGTAGTGCCTAGTGAAAGAAACTGCTGCTAAGACAAAAAAAAAAAAAAGATAATACCTTATATTTATTATTAAATGATATCATTATTAAATTATATACCTTATCTTTACAATGCTGAAGTTTGGGAACAGGGATTATTTAAGTCACTAGGTAGAAGAGGAGACAAAGAATGAAAAACAGGAGAAAAAAACTGGTTAGACTAATACAATCTGTTCTACTTGTAGGAAGAATAAAATATCACAGGACTACATTCAGTGTAAGCAAATTATTGAAAATAAATTAGTTTCTTTTTTTTTTTTTTTTCTGGTGGATGCTATGACCAGTAAGAATATATTGTAGAATGTTATATTACATTAATAAATCAATATCACTCATATGAAGTAAACAGATTTAATATTTAATTTTTTAGTTACAGTACAATGGCAAACCATCAGAAAGCTCTAATGTTAGTAATTTTTGAGTTTTCAGGGATTA